TTAATTTAATTAAAAAAAACTAAACATCTATTAAAATCTTCCAAAACCACCATTAAGGTCTAAAAAAACTCTATAAAAACACAAAGGTAAAGATATTTCTCACATTTAAATATGTGGCAAACATTTTTGCTTTAACATAACTGAATTTCCTCAATAAATGAGATTATCCTGAATTAAAGATCCAAGAAAATTTAACAACCATCATAATATACCACCATATGTAAAAATGCATCACAGTAAAACAAAAGCAAGCTCAAGCCATTTGCACCTGTCATTCAAAGAGAAAAATGCTGCTTCAGAAAAAGAAATGATCGGCAAGCAATTACTGAGCATCTACCAAGTGTCAAGCCAACTTGGCACATTCCTTTAAAAACATGACACCACTCTTTCTTCTATCACAATCCATCAGTTCACAGAACACAACTATCTATCTCAAATGCTTTCTGGAAGTAGAAATGTGAAGCGTATAAATGCCAAACAAACATGCACACAAGGAAAGGGAGGGAGGAGGAGGTGCAGGAGGAGAAGGGGGGTGAGGAGGAAGTGGAGGGGAAGGAGGGGGAGGGGGGAAAGGTAGAGGAGGGGGAGGGGGATGAGGGGGGAGAGAGAGTGTGAATGAGAGCAACCCAAAAAGAGATGTACAAGGATTCACTGAACACATGGTTTTCTTCTTATGTACTCAAATACAGATTTTTTTTTTCAAATACAGATTTTATCAGGGTTAAAAAACATTCCTGGAAATATTCAAGAGGAATTTTATGTGATGTTTTTTAGTGTGATCTCTAAAAGTTACCAGTTTTTGTTTTTGTTGTTGTTGTTGATTGCTGTCGAGTTGAGCACAACTCATAGCGACCCTATGAAAGAAAGACCTGAAGCCTTTCTATGAGTATCACTGTTTCTCACAGTTCATAGAGTTTCCAGAGGCATGCTGTTTTCGAAGTGGATGTCACTCCTGCTTCCAAAGTCACCAGAATGGCAAAAATATTAGGAGCTAAACTTACTAGATTGTTAGTAATCAAGCATTAAGTCATCTTTGTGAAAAGTAAGCATGATGAATGAAGAGGACTGAATCATTTCCTCATCCATCATTCATTATCTGTCAGTTTGTCATATGGGGTGGCCTATGTGTTGCTGAGATGCTGGAAACTATATCCCCAGTATTTCAAATACCAGCAAAGTCACCTGTGGTGGGCAGGTTTCAGAGAAGCTTCCAGATTAAGAGACTAAGAAACAAGACTGGCTATCCACTTGTGAAATAAAGGCCCACAAACTGCTTCACATGAATGGGACAGCTGGACAACCGTTTCATATGCGTGTTTAACTTGGACAATGAATAAAGAACACCAAAGAACTGGTATCTTTGAACTGTGATGCCGGAGAAGAGGGCTGAATATCCTATGGATTGGCAAAAGAACAAACAAGGATGCTCTTTAGAGGCAAGGAGGGGGAAACTTGGTCTCACCTACTTCAGGAATGTGGTCAGAACCTTGGACAACCTGCCAGTGCTTGGAATAAGGCGTCACACTGGGAACAGTGGACGATCAGCTTAAGAGAGGAAGCCCCTCCACAAGCTGGATTGACACAGTGACGGTAACAATGGGCCTGAACGTATGAGGTGAGGATGGCACAAAACAGGGCAAGGGTCAGATCTTTTGTTCACAAGGTCGCTATGAGTAGTAGTGAGCTCTATGGCACTTCACAACAATGAAATGGTTAGATCTAAGGTACAAAGCTTCACATCTTTTCTGTGTTTACTTGATTTGTCTTTCTTTTAAAACAAAAGCAAATAGACACATATCATAAATGCAACAGAGCCCTGGAGGCATGGTGTATTATGAGTCGGGCTACTAACAGAAAGGTCTGTGGTTCAAATCCACCAGTCGTTCCAAAGGGGAAGGTGAGCAGTCTCCTTCCAGAAAGATTTATAGCCTCAGAAGGGCAACAGAGGCTAGGAATTGCCACATGACTGGGAATCAGCTTGATGACAGTGAGTCGAGTTTTCCTGTTTGTTTATAGTTATGCAAAGGAGTCCTGGTGGCACAGTAGTTAAGCACTCAGTCACTAGCTGAAAAGTACAAAGTGTGAACCCGTTAACTGCTCAGTGGGAGAAAGATGTGGCAGCCTTGGAAACCCTCTGGTGCAGCTCTACTGGGGAACAGGAGTCAGAGTCCACTCACTGGCCTTTACAGCCATAGAAGACGTTGCCACTGGGAGAAGCCAGATGAAGACATTCCTGTAATTTTTTTCCCTGTGAATCTAAAATTATAAAAAAAATTTCCACTAAATCATATTAAAAGTAGTAGTATAATTCTCTAGGGGTCAGAATAAGCAGATTTGTCATAAAACCAAAAGTTCTACTTAGATAAATACTACCATATATGCAATTTCTGCCTATGATGTGAGCAGATTATATAAATTTCACCACAGTCACATACTGAAGCCGATGCAGAATGATAAACAGCCACTGGAAAGCCTGCCTGGACACTGACAGATATCATTTCTCTCCCTTATTGAGGAGTGTTTCAACTTAGCCTGCCACAGGGCCATTATCATCACCTCTGCTCTTCACTGAAGCCCCTTGTTACTACCGTGACCACACAGCTCAGTAAGACTGGCCTTCGTACCCCACTGCTGCTCAGGCCCTGGCTACAGAGTCCCTGAGCTATTTTGCTCAGCTTCTCTTCTGTTGTGTACTTTCTTTCTGCAATGTGAGCTTACTAACAGGGGCCCTACCAGCCTCATCTTTGTTTATGTATCTTCACTGCTTTGTTCATAGTCCTAGTAACAACAGGAGCTCAATAAAGGCTGAATGAGTGAAGAATCAAAGAAAAAGGTGAGTGGATGGGGTGGTGGGATGGATAGATAGATACAGAGAGAGAGACAGACAGATGTTCTCTTCTTATCTTTACATACTTGAAGATTTTAAAGGCTGTTGTTATTACCAGACACATTCCTCTTTATTTAGGAGACCTTGCCTCTCTTGGGACCTCAAAACTCCCCTAGACAATAAACAGATTCTGGTTAACTAAGCTTGACTGCTCACAAAGCTTCTCCTACAATGGGGACACCTTTGTGGTCCTGAATTTGAGGGCTTTTCATTCACGCAGGGCTGTGGGGGGGAGGGAGGGCGGCCTCGACAAGCAGAAACAGGCCCTTCAGAGCTGGTAGACAATGAGCGAGTGGCTGTGGTACCCATTCCCTACCAAGGCCCCTAATCCTTCTGCGCCACATGATCTGCGCTGAGGGTACAGGCAGTGTCCAGCGTCCACACTGTTGAGATCACGTGAGCAGAAACAGCCTTTCAACAGTTGCGAAGTACAAGATCATCACTTCTCTATCCATCTGGCCATTAAGTGCGTAGCTGGGATGGAAGGACACTTATAGATCAAAGTCCTTCCAAAGATTTTTCTAATGTCCCCCTCCCCCAACTCTCCTCTATTAACAGAGGCATTCCAGAGGATTTTCCAAATGCAGGCCCACTACTTCTGCGAACACGGGCCGATCAGAGTGCAAGCAGCCTCTTCTCACTAAGTGTTGTGTCCTAAGGGTTTGTCTGGTGACAGTGACCATTTCTTGAGGGCCTTCTACGGGGAAGATGGCTTACATACATTTACCCATAGAAATAATGTTTCCAATGACTCGATGTAGTCCTCTCTTTGAATAAAGCCACTCTATCCACCAAGTCCCTGACGTGTAGTATTTTTCCTTTAGGACTTGATTACTACAGACAGTACTATTTCAGTGGACAAATGGAAGGAAGGTGGAATTCAAGTGTGGGATTCAGGAGCTATATTAACTCGCCATGAAGTGGGGTCTTTTCCTTCTCTTTAACTGGGCTGTGGTGGCAGAGAATCACCCTACTTCATCGTGGCCCTTAGCAGAGACAACAGTAGAAGCTCCAAAATACCTCTTTTCTCCTCAAATCCTCTGGCATCTTCCTGACCATGGAGCCTTTGAAAGAACTGGGCTTGGGGCCCTTGCAGGGGAAGGGACATTCCAGGAACGTGGCTGTTTCTATAGATGGCAGGCTGTATACTCCAGGGCTGCTGCAGTGTCAGGCAAAGGAGGCCAGGTGAGCACTTCTCTCAAGAACACTTTGCCTCCAAAAATAAAAATATGTCCAATTTTGCTATTGGTTAAATAAAACAGGTACAGAATAACATGAGACTATGATTCAAGTATGATTTTCCAAATGGAAAACAAAGGGATCAGAGAATTCTTTTAGCGGACTGAGCCGGTCTTCTCTTATTAGAAAGAAAAGTGCCTGATCTCAGGTAGTGTCACACCAAGAGGACACAGTTAAGCCTTTGACAACATTCACATCCATGACCTTTGCTCAAGACGGCACAAAAGATGCACAAACGCCCACAGAGGAAGTCGGGTTAGCGACTGGGAGAACAAAGCTTCCCGGTCCTGACCTTTTACTCCGTGAGCTGGAAAGGGCAGCAGAGAAGCTGGAGGGAGACACTCAGGACCTGCAGAAAGAAAGACCTGCAGTTCGGTCCCCACTCAGAGCGCATGCGCACTGAGGCGGGGCCTGGCCTTTCTGACGTCCTGTCAGACCGTTACGAGAATGACATGCAATCTTCTCAGCCATACTTCTCACCACTGAGGACTTTAAAGAAAAAACGCATCACAAACCGGACACATGCTATTTTTCTCCAAGTCCCTCAAGGAATGCAGAGAAATACTGACAGTATCATTTGGTTCATTCTAAAAATAGCTGCCAACGTATACAGAATGACACACTGGCACTCTATGGAGGCGAAACAACCAGGGTCACCAAGGAGACAGTGTCAGCATGGCCTGAAGGCTGACAATCAGCTCTCTAGATGGTGCGATCCGTGTGCTAAGCCGCAGTGGGCTAAGGCAGTATGACCCAAACATCCTCAGGAGCTCTGCCACAGCCCCTCAGCTGTGACAGGAAGCAGAAGAGAAGGGAGGCTGGGGGAGGGGCGTCCCTCGCCCCCTTTGCTGCCCGGAGGGGTGGGCAATCTTACTTGACTTGGAGAGCTGTTCTTCCTGGGAAATGCCGAGGTCATCTGACTCTCCTGACAGCTCCTTGATGAAGTTGGAAGGGAACATTCCGGTCTTCCCATTGAGAACACCTTCCCACCATCCTTCCTCTACCTGCACAGATGCAAACAGAAGCAGAGAGATGTGGCAATGCGGTTAGACAGAATGGCTTCCAGGTCTGGGGGCAAGTACAGAACCCACACAGGGAATGTTGAAGGCCTCAAAGCGGGAAAGCTGACGTGGAATGTGGGCAGCAAACTACGTGGCTCAAGAATCGGATTAAGGTAAGAGATTTTAACCCTGAGCCCATAAACTCAAGTGGAAAAAAGAAGTTCTTTTTCCTACACTCAGACTGAAATGTAACACATCTTTCAATGATAGAGGTAAGTAATAAGTTACAGTAATGGTAGAGTGCCTGTGACTTCTCACCAAATAAACCATGGACATGGTGACGTCTCACCAGATCAATCATGGACATGCTCACAGTTCACCATATGAGGTTGTGGATGTCTGAGAGGAATGTCTACAGTCATCACTATTTGAAATGGACACAGTTATCACACCTGCTGGCAGCTATTGGTATCTGAGGTATTAATAAAGAAGCACTCAAACAAACAAACGAACCCCAAATGCACTGTCACTGAGTTGAATTCAACTCATAGTGAGTTGAGGCTTTAAATCTTTCCGGGAGCAGATAGACCATCTTTCTCCTGGAGTAACTGGTATATCTCAAAACAACTGCTGACTTCTGGTTTGCAACATAACATTGTCAGCAGAACTCCTTAAAAGACGCACACAGATTACTAGATTAAAATGTCTCTTTAAGATAGTGTCATTGTTATTGAAATATAAATACTTTCTTTTGTAATACTTTGTGTTTTATTTTTATACATTTAAAATTATTCTTTAAAAGCTGTGACTAGCTTCATCAGACACTCCCAATTTGACTAACAAGAACAATGAAGAATCCGTGGGTAAAGAATCAAGACCTCAATTAGACAGCAGAGGATTCCTGGTAGCTTTCTCTAAGGCTCTATTATGACTTTACTTAGAGGTGCCTTTCAGAAGGCAATTTGCTTCTGTTGTTGTTGTGTACCATACACTCAGAACTGATCCTTAGCTGACCCTCCGGCAGGTGTTCAGAGGCAGTAAATCACACAGGAGGAGACTGCCCATCCTTCTCCTGAGGAGCAGCTGGTGGCCTCAAGCTGTGTGCTTCAGAAAAAGCAGGTCTACTCTGTTCCTATAGGGGTTGCTGTGAGGCAAGCTGACTCAACAACAACTAACAACACAACATACGCCCAAAGCCCAGTTACAGACACTTACTTCTTCAACATAAAAAACCACCTTGTGGGAGTGGCCTGCTGGAATTGAGGGCTTAGACTAGAGGTCTCACGGGACAATTCTGTCAATTGTATAACATAGGTCATAAGCATTCTGTTCTGCATCAAAGTTTAGTAAGTAGAGTCTTAAAAGTTTTTGAGTGACCATCTATGTTACAACTATTAGTTTCTATTTGTCAGGAGTAAAACAAAAATAAGGAAATCAAGACTCAAAGAAGTAATTAGTCTATCAGTCTAACAGCCACCATTAACCATGGTCTCACCTATGGTGACACAGAAGAACTAGATGGTGCCCAGCCATCACTACCAACCATTCTGATGAAGAACATAATAGATGGCCATGGACAGAAAGTGGGGGAAATGTGGAACAAAACTGAAATTCTCCAAAAAAGTCAGGCATGCTGAATTGGGAAAGCCTAGTAGAACAATCCCCCCATACTAGTGCCCTGAGATACCCTTTACACTTTACATTGGAACTATACCTCAGGTCACCTTTTAGCTACATAGGAGAGTGGCTCTACAAGAAATATTATCACTCCTTTAAAATATCATCTACTTTTTTCTTAAAACAAAGATGAGAAGGAAAGGCAGCATGGAATCTGGATGAACAGAAATGGAACAAATGGAACAGAAATAATGAGAATGCTGGCACACAATGAAAGGAGAGCTGGCCTTGAGTGACCAGTAGGCGAGCTATGATGGCAAAAGAAGGGTTAAAAAAAATCTCCCTAGACTATCTGATGGAGTCGTTAACTAATAGCAGAAGTCAGAATACCAAGCTGGTGTTTGAAGGAAAATATTAAGGGCATTTTTTAGTACCAACTTACCAGTATGGTGTGGTACAGGAGTTCATAGGTGGCACAACTAGTTAACCACTTGATTACTAACCTAGATTAGTAGTTCAAACCACCTAGAGGGGCCCTGAAAGAAGAGTCTGGCAATTTGCTTTCAAAAGATCACAAGAGCCTTGAAAACCTACATGGACACATGGGGTCTCCATGAGTCTAAACTCATCTGGAAGCAATAGGGTTGGGGTTTGAAGCCATGGTATGGTAGAACAGAGAAAGATCAAAAATCTCTGAAATGTGTATTAACACTTGCATATTCCTATGCAAATCAATGAAGACAATTTAAAAGCAAAATTTTTCCCCTATGCAAATCAATGAAGACAGTTTAAAAACTAAAAGTATTTTTTCAAAGAAAAACCAGAGTTAAAAGCCTAGTTCAAGCCATATCCTGAAACTCAGTGGCTATGGGGTCTTATTCCTACCAAACGGAGCCCCAGTCCTCATGTCTACACATGTGGGGTAACACTGCACTTTACCGGCGTGGTGCAGAGGGCAGCGTCTCCGGGCTGCTGAGTCATAAAGCACCCTGGGGATACAGAATAGTATAGGACATGTGCCCCCCACCAAGAAGTTGTCAGTATACCTTTTAGAAAGGGTCCACGCTTTAAAGGGGAGAAAGGCAATGCAAAAAGCAAGTAGAGGAGCAAATTCTCACACAAAATCTAGCAAGCTCCTGAGATATGGGATGCTAAGACAAAAGAAATCAATATGAAGGTGGGCTGCAAAGAGTAGAAAAGGCAGATTGAAGCAGGGGTGGGTGGTACGAACGAGTCAGAAAGACGGGAGCCAAGTGGAGCTCGGGAATGGGTAAGAGAAAGCAGAATAGTTATGTTTAGAGCATTGTACAGAAATCACACAGTCTCCAGGAAATAGTCCAGAAAACGGCACTGATATACAACTGTCCTGATGACTATTCAATACCAAAGCATGGTATTTAAAAGTATTTCCTTTTAAATTGTTACATGTTTCTATGCCAATTCTACTGCTATGTAGTCTTCTTTCCAGGAGCTTTTTATAGGAATCAGATGCTTAGGAGGATTCACCAGGATCCTGAGTATAAACAGCAGCGGCATTTCTATAAGAGTGGTTTGTGCTAGTTCTGAAGAAAGGACTAGGAAGTGACCTTCTCCCTCCTGGGAACAACAGAGCTTGAGGGACAATCAAGGGCACAGACCACACCGGAGCAGTCTCTGGCTCAGTCCTCGACAGCACAGGGCAGGTAGGCCAATTCCCTCCATTTGGCTTGACAGCCTCGGACATTCCTGCTCTAGCATGTAAAAAGCAGCCCCAGCCCGAGTTCCCTGAGGGATTGTACAGGATCAGTGGGCGACATGCTGGGAAAAGAGGTGTCTGCACCTTGCCACACCCCCAGAAGCCTACACCACTGTCACAGCACAGTCGGGGGAAGGGGGAAGACAGGATAAGGAGGAGAGGAGTGACAACGAAGCCCCTGCTCACCAACTTGAGGGGGGATGCTTTACCTTGCAGGCTCCACAGGCTGGAAGCTAGTTTGTGTGAGTGCTGACCCCAGTTCCAGGGAGAGCCACCCCATTAGGACTTCCTCCCAAAGCCTGCTGCCTTGTTCTCGGGATTCAGGCTGAGGGTAAGCAGCAAATGATCTGCAGCTGCACATAAGCCTTCTTTAGAGATATTCCAGTTCATCTTTCCAGAGTGGCCACGTTCTGCATGAATTCATGAACGGCAGGGAAATCACTGGAGAAAATTCTTCACAGGGGTGGGGTTGGGGTGTTGAAGCTCTGATGGTCTCACAAAAGGTGTCTCGCTCCCTCTGAGGAGGGACCCAGAGATTCTGATCATATTGGTACTGCTCTTAATGAGGCACAGCTCTGCCTGGGACTGTTGCCTTCCGGAGGCGGGCCACAGGGCATTCACGCCCCCGCTGCATAACGAGCACATAGCCCGTGGCAGGCACGGCCTGAGGACCTTGCGATGAATTAACTGGTGAACAAAACATATAAAGCTCTTTCCCTTGAGGTGCTTCTGCAACAAAAATGAGGGACATATGGAACCTGTACATCCCGTGCTTAGAAAGCAAGCTTACTTATTCTTAGGGAAGGACACAGATGTCACCAAGGTCTCAAATTTCTGCCCAAAGGAAAGCAATACAAGTAGGTGGCCCTCCACTGCCCCCACACACTAATGACCAGTTTTCTGCAGGCTTTGTCTGATAACAAACGTGATGTGTGTTCCTCCCGAACCAACCTGCCCAGCTCTCAAGCTCACAGCTGCTCTCTAACAGAGTACTCACCAAGAGCTAGAACAGGGCGCTTTACACCTGGTAGTATTGGTGAAAGAGTAAAATGCCACTTAAACAGCTTGTGTCTCCAAGTGCCAGGCAATTGCCATGCCTTTAGGACCAACGACATCCGAGATGGCTCAGGAGCCAGGGAGGTGGTTTCTGTCTTGCAGCCCTGCTGGAAGCCAGGGAGGCAGCTGGACAAGTTTCAATGTCACTGCCATCTAACATGTTATCTGCCTCTGTAAGGAATGCAAGTCCCGTCTGTGAGTGGAAAGGTGATTGTGACGATCTGTGGGGACCGAGCTGTTCAGAAGAGCTTCAGGTCATCATTGATTTGTAAAGTCTCAGATGTCAACTGGGCAGCTAACTGAAAGGCTGGAAGTTCAAATCCACCACCTGCCCCACAGAAGCAAGACTATGCGGTCTGCTTCTGAGAGGCATAGACTCAGAACCGCGTGAGGGTCACCTTGAGAGGGTCCAACTGGGTTTTTTGGAACATCTAACCTACCCTACCAACAGCAAGTAAAAAAAAAAATCCCATGTATACAAACTTTGTGAGCAAACCAATATAAAATTTAAAAATTTTAAAAACCCTGATTCATTAGGGACATGTATATCTGTTTGGTACAGTATTTATGATAGTCCACAACTTTCATTAATGGGGACAGTCACTGGTAGAAAACTTAAGTGATTCAAGTAAGCCTTGGCTGATAGAGATGCAAATGATTTAGCAGCTAGGATGCTAAATAGTTTTACATCTAACGGAGTCTTAAGCAAGCATTTTCTCTTTCAGTCACTAGAAATACTTTATTCTTTCACAATTTTGTTGTGGTTACTGTGTGCCCTCAAGCTGACTAAGACTCATGGCAACTCTATGAATGAGACCGAACCCTGCCTTAGCCTGGCCAGCTTGACAGTCCCTGACACACTCAAGCCCACTGCTCTGGTCTCTGGGTCAACCCATCTCACTGAAGGTCGTCTTCTCGTTCTCTGACCCTCCACCTTCCTCAGCCTGACTGTCTCTTTTTCAAGGACTACATACAACATGTCCAAAGTAAATGAGGCAGAGTTCCACCCTCCAAGCCTCTAAGGAGCACCCTGATCTCACTTCCTCCACGACAGACTTGTTTGTTTTTTGGATGTCCACGGTATATTCAGGCCTCTTCTCCAACACCTAACAAACTCCCTCATTAATGCACTCTATAAAGCGCTGACAAATGCTTATTTTATAGTTATAGGAAAGTGAGGGAATCTGGCTTCTAGTATGAGCTCTGCCACTTTCATCCACAGAGCAATTCACTTAAAATTCTTCCATTTCTGTAAATCGTGGACTGGGACTGCTAGGAGTTCAGACAGCGTTCAGGAAATGAAAGCAGTCAGATAATTCTATTTCTAAATTCAGTTATAAATGCTAAATCAGAATGGATGACAAGGTTCCAAGTGCAAGGCCCATCATGCCCTAGGCGAGAGGTGGTGGAGACTGGGAAGCCCATCCCAGTGATAGGGTGGGATATTTTACCAGCAAGACTGGCTTTGAGTAGCCAGAAGTAAGGAGAATGTGGTCCAGTAGAAAGAGTGTAATGGTCTCTATGCAGATGGACTTGCTGGAGGTCCTCAGCACTGGCTCTTTAAGAGTCCCTTGAGCCTGTTTCCACATCTACAAACTAACGTAGATGTGACGAGAGAGAAAGCTACCGTGTGCAAAGACTTGGGTTTCTCAAGGCTGCTCATGCCCACCACAAACTAGGTCCTTTTAAGACCTTTTCAAAATGTCAGTCCTTTTCTTTCCCACTAAATTCAATGGTATCACCCAGAATGGAATCTAACTGCTTTGTTGGCCTGGTGGTAAAGGAGTTGCACCGCCAACCCAAAGGTGCGTAGTTCGAATCCACCAGCTATTCCGCAGGAGAAAGATAGACAATCTCGTCCCATGCAATTTATAGTCTCTGAAAAGCCACTGGAAGGTCAGCAATAAGCCAGTTTTGACTCAATGACACATGACAACAACTCTAGAGATGGATGTGCATCACTCTGGATATCCAGAGTCTAGTATCAGTTGAATCAGAGTGCAGTGATAGGGAAAACTTGCTAACACTAGATTGGGATTTTAGAGGTTCATAGCATGCTGTGTCAGCCTGGAAGCAGGAGCGGCATCCACTTCCGAAATGGTTTGCCTCCGGAAACTATGTACGAACAGTGCTCAGGCCGTTCGTTCATAGGATCGCTACAAGTCGTCTACAACTCGACGGCACCAAACAACAACAACAACAGCATGCTGCGTTAGCACGAAAATGATTTTAAGTGGCCCCATATTTGCCTGCAACTGGCTTAGAGGCACTCCTTTCTGGGAACTCAATTCTTAGAGAGAGGCTTCAATGAGATAATAAATTAATTCTCTTTGGGTTCCAGCATCCAACGGGTCAAGGCCATACAGCTTGGAGTCTGCAGCACCGAGCTCCTCCTGGGTAGGCGGGTCGGCTCTGGCCATCCAGGCGTGTTGATCACACACAGTCCACCCAGCTCACTTACCTCTCCCACCACCTCTATGATGTCACCGACTTTCAGCTCAAGCTCGTCATCGTTCTGAGGCAGGTAGCTGAATGCCACCTGGCACCGGCGCCTCCGGCGCTCTCCTAGATGAGAGAAAGCAAAGAATTTAGATATGATTCTTCTCAAAAAATAAGGCTTGAAATAAAGACTTCTTAGGCATGCAGGCAAATTAAGCCGACTTGTCTCAAATATGCTCTCTGGGAGATGGCTAGAGGCATGACAGCCCTGGTCTTGTAGGGAGAGGCAGTAGAAAGCAGAGCAATGCTTCTTGGTCTTTTAAAAGCTGCTGGGTCAGGAAGGCATGAATATGAGGAACAGATCCATTTGTGCAGAAGGCAACCCCCTCCCCACGCCCCGAAGCACTGGAGCACAGTGTTGCCTTAAATGGTTTTCTATGGATGGGGCTTTGTAGTTGCTGCCACTGAGTTTTAATGAAAGCTGATGTGAAGTGGGAGAGAAAAGAGAATGGTCTGCTTCTAATGCTAGCAGGGCAAAGGAAATTCTCCTCAAATGTGCAAAGGCATAGATAAAGTATCCTGGCTGCCTTATTATTAATCATTATCCTTTCAACATGCTGGAACTCAGGCCTGATAAGCAAAAGCCAATTAGACTGCAGCTTTCTCTTGGTCCTATTTCAAACACCCTACAGTGGTCCAACCAATCTACTTGCTCCTCGGTCCCAAGGGATTCAATTAACAGCATCTGATGCTTACACAGAACCAACCCAGTCACACCAAGACAAAAGGCGAGACCACACTTCCCCTGACCAGAGGACATTCAAGGTGACACCATCACACTCAATCAGGGTGGCTCAAATAGGAGGCTCTGGCTTAGAGCTAGTTCAAGTACAGACACAACTAGCCACAGCATAGCCACAGCACAGATGTGTACTGTGGGAAGAAAGTATGCTCATGTGGTGGGGGGGGGGAAGAAGGAAGGGAAGGAGACAGAGAGAGGAGAGGGGAGGAGAGGAGAGGGGAGGGGAGGGGAGGGGAGGGGAGAGGAGAGGAGAGGAGAGGAAACACAGACACACAGCAGCAGAGGCCCAGCCCAGAGAGAGGGGGTGGAGGACAGGAAGTGAGATTGGCACTGCTCAGAGTTTGTCGCTCAAGGCTGACCACCTCACGCTGCTCCCTCATGCCACCACATGGCCTGGAAAACCAGAGGCATCAACAACTTAAAAGAAACACATTTAGAAATGGTAAAACTTATTTTTGGCTACAACCTACAGGGATTCTATTCCTTTGTATTCTTTTCCCTGAGAAAGGAAGCCTCTACGGGTATGATGATCACAGGGCACATTGAGGCCCCCCAACGGCATGACACTATACAAAAAGGAAGGTCTCTTTGCTGTCACCAATATGCTCCCTGATCAATGTTTTTCAAAGGCCAGTCTAGTTCTGTGTTCTACTTTCCTCTGTCTGTACCCGACTTCTAAGAAAAGAGTAGAGCAGAGAAAACAGAAAGAAATCTCAGAATCAATACCTTTTCTAGCCACGTTTCTAAGACCACACAATGCACCCCACCCCTTGGCACAAAATCACAGGCCGCCTCGTCTTAAGAAGTGCAAATGCATAATGCTCAGGCCAGTTCCCAGCAGTTTAATTGCATGGCCAGCAGGCAGATGAGTATAATGAGAGAAGGTGGCCCCAGCCTGCTTTTCTAAGGTCAGGCATAAGCCACTGTTCTCCAGTGTCAAGAATTCCATCCACATTCCATGGCTTCTGACATGCTAGAAGTCAAATTACATTCTCTGCATCATCAAGGTAAAATATTTCTCATTATAGCAAAAAAGGTTTACACGACAAGTCTAGAGGGCAAGACTACCTTGGCATTCTCTTGTAATGTCCCTGCCTCCACAGACACCCCTTGAAATGATGCGCCCCTCTAAGTGTTTTAAAGAAATGATAATAGCTATAGGACAGGGTTCAGATCTTTTCTTCATAGGGTCATACTCAATGGCACTTAAGAACTTAACAACACGACAACTCTAAATGTTGACGAGCATCAATTTGCTAAATGTTAGGTTAGCGAATAAACCCTACAGATAGAATTCTAAACCACATGAAACAATAATATAAATGTCTGAAAAGCAACAAATGCAACCACAGAAGACACTAAACTCCTGATCAAAGTAACTTAAAAAAAATCACATCTGAAGACCTAGATGTACTTATTTTTATTTGCATTCAAGTTTACTAATCATATTGATTTTTCCTTCAATCATCCATAGCCATTTTGTTTCATAACACTATTGTGGTGGTGTTGTTGTTGCTGTTAAATGTCACCATGCCAGCTGTGACTGCCAGCAGCCCTGAGAACCAGGGATGTGAACCTTGCCCCAGCTTATATCATCCCCAGCATTTCTGATACGATCCCACTGTGTCAGTCAATTTTGTTGAGGGTCTTATCTTTCTCTGATTCTCCACCTACCCCAACATGATGTCTTTCCAAGGACTGGCTTCACCATTCTTGCTGCTAAAGTTGAACTTCCTCCAAAACAGACTTGTTTGCTCTTTTGGCAGTCCATGGGATATTAAGTACTCTTTGCCAACACCACAATCCAGTCACTGATTCTTCTTGTTATCCTTATTCATTGTCCAGCTTCCAGATACAAAGGGAGTAACTGAAAAGAACATGGCTTGGACTAGGTGCACCTTAGTCTTTAAACTGATACCTTTGCTTTTTAGAACGTGGAAGAAGTCTGTGACAGCTGATTTTCCCAGTGTAACACATCTTTTGATTTCATGGATGCTGTGGTTGTGGGTCCAAGTAAAATTAAATAACCGATAACTTTAATATTTTCTTCATTTATTATTGGTCCAGTGGTAAGGATTTTTGTTTTCTTGATGTTGAGACCATTTTTCAAAAAAGTTACTACAGTAATTGCCACTAATTAATGTAATTAATTAACAATGTCCGATCAACCCTTTATTGTGTAGTGCCTGTCCCTTCATCCAACTATCTATTTATTCATTTCTATTCCCTTCTCCCTCCACTCCCACTCCAGGTAACTCTCCAAGTTTATCGATGTCTAAACTTTTCCTTAGCTTTTTATATTAATGGTCTTATAGTATCTCTAAGTATCCTTCTGTGGTTGACTTATGTCACTCAGCATAATTTACTCCAGATTTATCCAAGTTTACAGTATTTCACAAATTCTTAATAGTTTTCTTTTAAATGATGCACTGTGTAAATGTATCACAGCTTCTTTAAACTTGCATTAATTAATGGTAAAATGGGTTTTCCCCACCAATTCTTTGCTATTGTAAAGGGGAAATATACCAATGTAAAAGAACTGAACAGAAGATTTGAAAGGGCAACTCAAGACAAAGCAATGTATTATAACAGAATGTGCTGGAATTGGAGAATAAAAGTTGAAAAACTTGCTCTGCATTTCTCAAGCTGAGAGAACTGAAAAACAAACTGAAGCCGCAAAAGGCTTCAGGCCTTTTGTTCATAGGGTCGCTATAAGTCATGCTCAACTCAACAGCAATCAACAACACCACAACATGGGTTGTAGTCTCTCTCCATACCTATTCAATCTATATGCTGGGAAAATTACTCCAGAAGCTGGATACAATAAAGAAGAATGTGGCATCGAGATTGGAGAAGACTAATCAATAACCTGCATTACAAAGATTTTTTTGTGAGGAGGACCTGAAGCACTTGTTGCTAAAGACCAATGAAAACAGCCTTCAATATGGACTGCACCTCAACATCAAGAAAGCAAAATCCTTACCACTGGACCAATAGATAAATAACATCATGATAGATGATGGAGAAATGATTAAATCTGTCAAGAATTTCATCTTACTTGAATCCACAATCAATGTCCTTGGTACCAGCAGTCAGGAAATCAGGAGACATATTGCACTGGGAAAGCCTCCAGGTAGGGAACTCTCCAAAATATTTAGGAGTAATGGTGTCTTTTTGAAAGACGCAGGCCATGGTCTTTCCAGTCACTTGCTATGCATCTGAGAGCTGGATAGTGAATAAAGATGACAGAAGAAGAGTTGGAGAAAAGTACTGAACATCCGATGGACTGCCAAGAGAACACTTCTTGGAGAAAGTGCAGCCAGAGTGCTCTTTGAAGGAAAAGATAATAAGGTTTCACCTCACATAATCTGGGTATGTTGATAAGAAGGGCTATTCCTTGGGGAGGGTCATGATGCTCAGAAAGACAAGAGGGTCAGCAAAGAAGATGAAGACCCTTACCCAGATGGACTGACATAGTGACTGCCACAATGGCTTCCAGTGTGAGGGGATGGCCCAGGATAGGACAGAATTCAGCTCTGTTGTTCATAGGGTCACTAGGGGTCTTACTCGACTCGATGGCACCTAACAACAATATTGCTATTGTAAATAATGCTGCAATAAAGAAGGATGTTTGTATGTCAGTTTGTGTCACTGCTCTTATTTCTTTGTACTACATACCTAGTGGGAATGCTGGACCAAATAGACTATCTATTCCCAACTTTCCAAGAAAACATCAAACTGCTTTCCATAGGAGTTGCACCATTTTCCATTCCCATCAGCAGTAGATGAGAGCTCCAATCTCTCCACAACTTTTCCAGCATTTGTTGTTTGCTATCTTACTAAACATTGCTCTTTTTGCTGGAGTGAGATGGTAACTTATTGTTATTTTGGTTTGCATCTCTCCAATAGCTAACAATCTTGCCTATTTCTTTATGTGTTTGTTGGTATTCTGAATGTCTCCTTTGGCAAAGTGTCTATTCATGTTTTCTGCAAATTTTGCCATTACGTTGCTTGTCTTCTTCTTGGAGAGGTGATAGAGACTAAATTTTAGGAATTAGTCCCTTATGAGATGTGTCACTGCCAAGTATTTTCCCAATTTGTATATTCAGAATTTGTATGTTCTCTTTTTACTCTTTTGGATAAGTCTTTAACTACACATAAAGATTTATTTCTTATAAGGTCTCTATCATCCAGCTTATCTTTTGTTGGAAGTACATTTTCAGTATATTGGGGGGCTATTTATATCACTGATTAGAGCTCCTCAGTTGACCCTATTTTTTCCTTTTGCTTTGATTCAAGTTTTATAGTTTTCAGCTTTAAGCCT